AGCATTAGGCTGGCAGCCGAGAGGGTCCGGGTTCAAGTCCTCCTCGGTCGTAGAGGATTTTGTATTTTTTTTTTAATTAGTACCTTTTTATTTTTTTATTAGTTTTATTTTTTTTTTTAATTTTTAGATTTTAATGTTTTAAAAACAAACAAAAAATACATTTTTTTCAATACATTTGTATGATATTAAAGCATTTTAGTTTATTTCCTAATGAAATTGTTGTTAAACAAATTTCCTCTCTTCATTTTCGCTTTTTTTAATAAAATTGAAAGATATTATCTTTTCCTCCATATTTTTACTTTTGTGACCTGCTCTTAGCCAGCTGACAAATTAGTGACTTATTTTTGAGACTATAGACGTGAGACAGCGTACTGAATACCAAATAGTCTCAAAATCCAAGTTCACCACCAAAAGTCACTATTAGTGACTAGAGACCGCTTACTGAATGCCAGGGTTATTCACATGGAATTGGAGATAGGGTTGATAGATTTATTTTAAATAAATTGTGAATCTGCGAAAATATCTTTTCAGCAGATGAATATACTTTTTAACCTTTTTTCCGAAAATTTACATACAGGCTCGAAAATATGCGAGTAACATTACGTTTGTATAGTAACTTCTCCAGTAAAACATTGCAGCGAGAGCGTAAAAGCAAAATAGAGCGTAAAATTGGAAGAAGAGAAAACTAGCAGAAGAGGTTATTGAACACAAAACTAGCAAAAACTTGCAAGAGAACAGTTGTTGCACTGCTTTGACAATCTGCTGTAAACATTTTACTATTTATAAATCAGTTTTAAACTCTTTGCTTTACACACAAGCACTTACACTGTCCAGTACATCATTAATATTATGATTTCCACTCATTTTACTTTTGTTTGTGCCAAGGCGAATCAATATAAGGTGATAGCAGGAGTAAAAAACAAAAATTTACATGTATTTTGTTTTTGCTTTGGCGGCATAAACTGTCAAAATCTGTAAGTGTGTGTAGAAATTCAAACAAAATTTTTCAATTTGATATCAGATATCAGAAGCCGTGCGGCGAAACACATACACAAAATCAACTGAGCTAGTAACACCACTTTTTATATATTCTTTTGACATTTATTCTTCTTCTTCTTCTGCTAGCTAATTTCTGCTAGTAAAAATTTCACTAGCAAGAATTTGCAGCTCTCTCGTGTTGTTACGCTCTCGATTCAGTGCTCTCTTGCGAATTTTTTGGGTTATCATACACTTTTCCAGTAAAGTTTGCAGGTTCCAGTACAAATTAGTACTGACTATTGGTAACTATACAAACCTATTCAAATATCGTCGCCTGGATGGAAAATTGCCGGAAGCGTCATTTTGACAATTTGTGGTTTTTGGATATCTTCTTTAGTTTCCGACTAATTGACTAAAATTTTTTCGCTTATTTGGTACAAATTGCGTTAATATTGCTGTCGTACTAAACTAATCAAGATCTTTCAAATAGAGTTATCTGTTCTTCTTTAGTTTCCGACATATTCAGCTTTATCATGAGTTTCATTTTCTAGAACCGGGTCACTTTTCGTTTGCGTGTGTTCACTACAGGTGGGTGAAAAAATTGTTGGCGAAATTTTGTTCGGGCGAAACTCACGATTAGGCTGATTAGTAAAAAGTATGGTTAATTTATAAAAATTGTTATCACATTTTGGCGTATATCACTAAAACTGACTGCAAATTTTTTGACAAATGTCGTATACGACAAAATTTTATTAAACTCATAAATGGTTGACACTAAACTAAAAAAATAAGATAATTTAAGAATTTCATGAACTAGTACATAGCATTCTCCGACACTTTGGAGAAAATCTGTAGTCGTGTTTCTGAGAAATTGCATTCCAAACTTCAATCGTGAGTTACCGAAAGTAACTTGTGACAATCTTTTATCCATACATAAATTATAATTGTCATTATTTTCGCAGTTGGAGTATATGCCAGACGAGTAACAGGTATATACATACAAGGATACCTAAATTAGCGCGTTGAACTTGTATATTTATCTCTCTCCAACGCATTAATTCTATATACGTAGGTACCAACGCCTGACAAAGTTATGTCTAAATTTAATAATGGCTCTATGACAAAATATTCATGGAATGTATTCGTAGATTTTTATTTACTTCATTTCATACATTAGCATTGATGTTTTGTTTTTCATACATTAGTATTGATGTTTTTTACTAAATACCAGGAATAAATATTTAATAAAAAACTATTTCACTTAAGCTTAACCAACTTTTAGTTGCTCGGAGCTAATTTTGGAAAATACTAAATATTTTCATAGACAGTAAATGCAACCCTGGGTGCATCATTAACGAGCTGAAAAACCAAACAAATAAAAAAATTCCATTTTTACAGTTTATGCCGCCAAAGCAAAAACAAAATATATGTAAATTTTTGTTTTGTACTCCTGCTATCACCTTATATTAATTCGCCTTGATCTGAACCAATATTCCCAAAAATTATAAAGCAAAACAAAAACCATTTTTTCCAATTTATGCACTGTTATTTTTATTATTGCAATACAATTTCGCAGCTCTTCAAACATTTTCCACGTAATGCAGCGTTTTTGCTGCATTTAAAATGCAACATTTAGCACTTTCGAACATATGTTTTCGAAGAGCGTTCATGCTATCGCATTTAGCAAATGTACATTTACGCGAGTTCGAAATCGTATGCTTTTGACAAACAGCCGTGTTCCAGTCGCTTATTCAGATCCGTATCTATTACGATAAATTCTCACGGAAAAGATAATGTCCAAAAATCCCTACTGAAAAGGAAAAAATAAATTCTAAACCGAAAATTCAATACAAAAACTTGAATTATTTTAACCATAACCAAACATTTGTTTGTGTATATATTCATTTGTCGGTGCTGTCAATTATAATTTCCACACTTAATTAGGAAACAAAACAAACAGAGTTGATCACAAATTAATCCAGATTTCTATCAGCATCATATCGATGTTTAATTTGCGTAACTTTTCTTTGTCCAAATAATGTAAAATAATAAATGAAATGAAATGAAAATCTCGATCGGCGATCACTGAAACGCAGCTAGCGACTGTATACTCAAAAAAGCAATGTTGCCACTTCTTCTCATTAAACCATGTTCGAATCGTGGAAATTTTGGAAGATCACAGGGTTGCTTTTAGCATTTAGATTCTAAATGCAAAAATGGATAAATGTACATTTAGAGTAGCATTTAGAGCTAAATGCGCTAAATGTGCTTTTACGCGTAAGCAAAAACAGCCCATTATGCTTTTAGGGCTAGTAATTTCCGACCCCATTTGCTCGTTTTTTTTTTTTCAATTCTGAATTTAGGCTAGGCTTCATGGGAACTTACTGTGGGTGCAAGCAGATCACATTTTGTAAACGGAATTGTGATATTTAATTTTATTTTATAATGAAAAATGAATTTAATGTGCAATTTTTTAAGTTTACTAGATGTAAGACAACTTTTCATTTTCTTTATATATTGCATGCTTTAGTTTTAATTCTGTTTAAGTTAAGTTGTAAAGGTGAAAATAGGCCTCCTGGGCAACCGAGCACATTAAAAAAAATCGGTAACGCGCGTAAAAGCATACCTCACAAGTGGTGTGGAAAATGCAAGAACAAATATAAATGGAATAATTTTCGAAATTATGAAATGGTTATTGGTATTTTCCATCTCAAAGGGGGTGATTAATTTGAACGTTATTTAAGCTGCCTTTACACGGTCGATTTTTGTCGTTTAACCAAAATCTACCCGTGTAAATTGCAATTCAACCGTAAAATGTAAGCGTTTTGGCTAGTCCATATCTTAAGTAAATTTTCCAGTCGACAGAAATCGACCCGTGAAAAGGCAACTTCAGGAATTTTTTAATTTTCTTTTTTTTTTTGCTTGGGCGTCTTTTGAAGATGTGCCAAATTATATTGTCTACTTAAATACAAAACAACAATTTCTTTAAGCCATCTTGTGCAGCAATTTGTTGATCTTATCCTCACGGCTACCGAAATCACCAACCTCAATGTAGTGATTAGCCTTCTTGCGCCAGCCTCGGGTTGATGTGTTGAGCTTGAATAGCAACAGGAAGTTGGGGGCTTTCTTGAAGTGAATCAACGCACTGAATTTCGTGCGCTTCGCGAAATTTGCGTTCGATCACAAAGCAGAGATTGGGACACGCTTGACCATTCCACGTTTGTACATCAATTCACAAACTGATTTAAGATTTGGATAACCCCATATAGGGGGTTCGGCATAAGTAGCATTAATTGGTTGCCTTGCTCAATTTGACGAACACACCGTTTTAATGTGGCGAAGACAGAACTGTAAAACTACGCACTTTTTGTGCAACTTTGTTGATACCGCGGATGCGGATCACAAAAGCCAATTTGGATTTTTCAGGCCCGTCGAATTGGCCGCATTTC